TAGCCTACTGCCAACTCTAACTTTTGGTTCTGTGAAATAAATTTGATTTACACATGGTTATTGCTAGGAGGGAAAGATTGAAGAGGTCTGTCCCCTACTTGACAAAATTTTTGGCCAATGTCCTGTAGTTGACAACTCTCAAATAGCTGTTTCTGTGAGATGACTTTGATTTTTAGAGCTGTGACTGATTTACTGCAAATCATCTCATTACAGGAATTATAAAGACTATATATACATATGCTGTTTAGCATTTTTTTCATTCTGTGACATGTCTAATTTTTTTTTATAAAACAAGCTTTTCTAGATATGTAATGATGTAAATGGATGTAAATTTTTAGTCTCCAGCTAGTAATTATCTCTAATGTCCTGTTGTATGGATGAAATGAGTAACACAATGTACATTTTCTGGAAGAGAAATATAAGTAAATATTCATTTCAGTACAAAGGGGTAGGAGCAAGGTCAAGGTATTAGTAGAAAGGAAATGGGAAGTTGCCCAAGTGTCAGAAAAGGCACAGGGCGTGGGGGGAGAGAGGACGGGGGAAAGAATCTCCATTGCTCTAGGTAAATTTTAAATTGAAAAAAAACACAAGAATACATTCTTTTTAAAATCTATTTGGTCACTGCAGGGTCTCACTACTTAGCTCAGACTCATGGTGATCCTCCTGTGCTCAGCCTTCCCAGTGCTGGGATTACAAGTGTGCGCCCCTATGCCCAGACTCTGTGGCTGGATCAGCCTGCCCTGGGGGTGGGGCTGGTGCAGCATGTGGTGCCAGGGATCAAACCATGGTCCCTGCACTTGCCTAAGCTTGCCTAAGTAGGTGCTTTATTCCACTGAGCTATCTTGCTGGCCCCAAGAATGCATTCTTTACCAATTATTAGAATGAAGCATTGCCCCATGTGAAAATTATGACTTAATGTTTATGTTATTTGTATTTTCTTTTCTCTGTTTTAAGTTTTTTCCTCAGTTCAGAGGAAAAAATTACTATTTTATTCTAAAAATTTCAGGATATCATTAAACAGTAACACATTGGGCAATTAATTTTCTTTTCTTCCTTGAAAAATAGTAAAAGGAGAAATTGCTCAACTATAAATCAGTAGGGATAAGTAAATGCTGACAAAAAAGGCTTTTGACTCTACTATGTTTTAATAATAATTGGGAAATATGTCAAACTGTTCTATTAAATACTTATTACAGAATATAGAGAAGAATAATGACATTTGTTGTTCCAACATTAGATTTATTTTTTTAACCTTGTTAGAAGAGACTTTGGGGCTAAGGAGA